ATATAAATGAGTTTCATATTAACTATTTTTGTCTAGATGAATATCATGATCACATTACATTGGTAATACAATTGTGATTTAAACAAACAATATTGATCCTGAAATTCTTGGTAATACCAATGTTTACTTTGTCTGGTTTTGTTGCAGTATGCCCCATTTCTTGTATTAATATTTTTTTTTATGATTTTGATTTTTTTGTCGATCTTTTAATATGAAATTTCCCCATATTTTTATAATAAATTGATCAGCATTTCTCTGATTCATAGGAATCATCAATTAAAATTTTTGAAATATTATGTGATCCACACATTTGATTTTAAAAAACCCACCACCATTCAATTCAGCTTTAAAAGTGGAGTCTATTAATCTAAAAAAAAAATTTTGTCTTTTCATAGATTTTTGAACAATTCCTTTGAAGAATTTTAAACTCAAAATGTCACCCTTAAGTGAAAGTCAACACAGTGAATCATCAGTCTATATAAAAATAATGTACCAAACCACAAAATAACTAAAATTGTTGGTGTTCATAGGAAAACAGTGACTTGTACTATAGTGGTTGTATCTGTTGATTATCCAGATAGTTGGTCATTCACCAAATATCTGCCAAATATCCACTGAATATCCACTGAATATCCATTGAATATGCATGTTTTTTTTTAAGAAATACAAATAACAACAGATCAATTTTATTCATTTGGCTGTCATTGTGTGTTTCCAGCTTCACTAAATACAGTCAAACCAAGTTATCAGATAGGACATTTTTGTGTCAATTCTCCCCATTGATCACCATGTATAACTCACATAAACGGGTCATCAATTAATTGTTTCTATGCATAATTTAGACCAATGATAAATCATCATGTAAAATCTGCTACAACAGCTCCTAGCAATCAAATACTATCTCATAGTACAACATGAATTACAGTGACTAGCACAAGTTAACCAACCAGAAGGACATATCAAGGATATTGAAAAAGACACAATTTTAATGTGTATGAACTGTGAAGTTAAACTGAAAGATAAGTTGTTTGCTTTAGATTGTGGATATGTAAGTTGTGGAGAGTGTCAAAGTCAATTCAAAGCACACAAAAAATCATGTCCTGGTTGTGGGAAAAAACAAAACAAGCTTTATAATTATTTGCATGAACAATAACATAGCAACAACAGTGTAATTATCTAATAGAAAAATACATTTTTAATGTTACAATGGAGAAATTTAATTAATATTCTACACAGATTTAAAAAAATCATATAATTTTTTCTTTCCTTCATTCAAATCATTAAAAAAATTAAATATGTTCTACTTTGTGCTTTCTTTGCATCATTAAATAATTATAAAAAAAAAAAAAATTTTTATTATTATTACTTTTGTCCCAATATATTTTTAAATAATCCACCAAATATGGCTGACTCTTTTGTTGGTTTGTGACCGGCTCTTTGTGATAGATTAGATGGAAAATCTAAATAGTTGTATGCTATATCAAAAAATAATGGTTTTGCTGGAATAGGCGAAAATTCTGGAGGGAATTTAATTAATCGTGCATTTGTCTTTGAAAAATTGGTAGGATATTGATTAAGATTTTCCAACAAATAAGACTTTAAAAAAAAATATAATTAATAATAAGTTCATAAATATAAATTAATTATAACATAATTTATACAGTTACCTCTTCATCCTTATTTTCAAATTTAGACTCTTCAGTTTTATTATTTTTATTTTTATCTTCAATTTTCATTTCACTAAATCTTTTACTTAATTCCAAATTCTCTGGAACAGTACCATGTTGAAGACATCGTGATGCATGTACTTTACATTTATGAGCTCTTAACAGATTTTCTAATTCATCAACATCTTTTTGTGTAACAATTAGAATTTCATCATCATTGCCACTGTTATTAGAAGTTATTTTTGATAATGATGCTTTTGCTTGTGAATTATATTCCCTAGCACGTTCATACAATAAAATAGCTTCTAATTCTTTGTTTAGAACAGCATATGCTGATGCTACATATAGAACTCTATAAAGAAAAATTATTTTTGTTGTTAATAATAGTTATCATAATATATATATTTAAAATATTTACTTGTCTTTTAATTACCTCCATGCTTTATAATACCAAGTTTTTGCATCAATTTCTTGTAATAAATTGAGATTAATTTGAACTTCGGAAAGATCATTAATCTCATTTAAACTCTTATTATAGTAATGTGATGTAATATATAAATGAAAACATTAATTAATGAAAACATCAATTTTTCAAAAATTAGATTTTTTACTTTACCTGAAGAACATTATCATATAATTTAACAATTTCTTGATATTTTCCACCAAAAAATTTAGCATCTGAACGTTCTTGAATTTTTAAATTATGTTTAAGTGTTTCCACAAGCATTAAATTACGCTGAATTCTATGGAATAAATAATTATATGCCACATAATCATAAACAAAATTAAGATCTGCTGTCAATTTTTCTGATTTAGAAGACTTGACTTTTGCTGTAGCTTCCTATATGCATCAAGGATTATAAATAAATAAATAAATAATAATATTTAGAAAAACCAATATATAATATATTAAAGAAAGAAATAATACTTTACTGCATCTTCCTTTACAACATTTTTAGCAAAATTTTCTGCATCACCATAAGCTTCCAAAAGTGCATCAAATAATTCCATTTTTGTTGAATCTTCAGCTTCTGAATCTAAAGCATTTTCAAGATTTTTTGTTGCATCTTGAGCTTTTAAAATGGAAATTGCCAAATCTGTATTTTTAAGAGATACAGTACGATTATGCCAAGTTATAGAATTAAGGAATGATGCTTTCTGTTGACGAGATTGTGTAAGCACAGACTATATACAATAAAAAATTTTTATTGTTAAAAAATTTTTTTTTCAAATATCATTAAAAATATATTTAATGAAAATTATACCTCTACTTCTGCCTCTAATAAATCTAATCCAACTCCTTTATTTTTTCCTAATGTCATCTTTACAAGATCTTCAACATCTGTACCTAATCGTAATTTAAATGCACAAAAACGAATATTTGGGTCAATATCATCAATTGCAGATTGACATAAAGTTTCTTGATGTGAAGTTCCAGCTGCAGATAATTTTTCATATATTGTCCTATAAATAATGTTTTAATATTTATAATCAACTATATGTATCTATGCACTATTATTACTATTGTTGTTGTCATTATTATTATTATTATTATTATTACCTTGAAGCTGCAAATTTGTCTAATGCAGCTTGCCAAAGTTGTTTTTCAAATAACAAATATCCAGACATTAAAGAAGAGTATGCCTATTTATATGTTTTTAAATTTTTCTAAATAAATTCTGATAAATTTAAATATACACATATATATTTCTCTTTAAAAATCAAACCTGTGCCTCCAACACAGTCCTAGTATCAACTTTACCGATTTCTCTTGAGCACAAATGTTCTAATTGCTTGGCACATTTTTCTGCTTTTTTTAATTTTCTAATTAAATGATGTTTTTTACGTAAATCGCCGGTAGATCTTGATTCTCTTTTCAATTCCATTGCATAACTCCAAGCACGTTCAGTATCAAACAATACAATATGCAAAACTCTATTTAGATAACAAATAAGATTACAAAAAATAAAACTTATGAATTGAAGAAATATTTTTCAAATATATATATCATAATGTTTCACCTGACGTCATTTAAACTTGATACATTTACTTCATTTTTTTGAGTGAATCTTCCTTTACCATGTGTAAATTTTAAAGATACTCGAAGGCGATGAATTTTTTGAGTACAGTACTGTCTATAATTAATTACTTTTTAATTATTAAAATAAAAATCAAAATATAAATAAATATATGAAATTATACCTATAACGTGTATAATCTTGATGTCTAAGCCCATATGTATTTCTTGCTTCATTAGCAAGTGCCAAAACTTTTTTCAAACAAATTGATTATTAAAAAACCAGGTAGGTATCAGTATAATATTTTATTATATAATAACTGAAATTCACATCCAAAGAAAAGTAAATTAAGGAAGATACTTGCTATCAAGTGAGAAAGTATTAGATTTATTATCATTAGCAATTTCATCAATTTCCATTTTTTTTTTTAATATATTATTTCGAATGATCTTCTTCTATAAATGGCTGGGATGATGTTAATTAATTGATATAATCTTAATATTAACAAGAAATCGATCGATAATAATAAATCAATTCCAATTTTAAATAGTGATAGACGGAAATTGTGAGATAACCAATTATAGTATCCATCTGATTGATTTTGATATGGGGCATGCTTGCAACAAAGTGAACATTGGTCCAAGAGTTTTAGGGATCAAAATTTAGTCATTTGTAATGTGGTCATAATTAATATCCCATTTTGTTATCTTAAGTGATATATAGAACTATCCCCCTATATAAAAATAATTTATTAATATGAAACTAATTTACATTAGGTCTACCATGGAACCCCAAGAATTACAGCACCATTAGAAGTATTTTAAAAAAGGAACAAGATGAAAAAATAGCTTTCAAAATAGATGATGCTCAGGCACTTATGAAATTTACCAAGAAGAAAGAATAATCATAACCAGAGAAAGAACATTAACACAAAACTACAAAGAACCCAGAAAGAAAAGAAATCAGTAGAGAAATAATTTGCTGTCTAATTTTTGAATAATATAATGAATATATTATCTTTTAAAGATTAAAGATATTAAAAAAAGATTTGGTAAAAAAGAATTAGTATGAGTTGGTTTGACTTGCTTGGGTTTTACTTCAATTATTTGTTCTTGTTAGTTTAATAAAAACATTAAAGATGTGAAATTTTGCATATATAATTTGGTGAACCTAAATTGCAAAACAATGTTTTTTATTTAATTATTAAGTATGTTTTTGCGCAATTTTTGTTTAAAAATGGCCCGACTTTTGTCTAGTGTGTGTATACTGTATATAGGGATAAGTGTATATGAAAAGTAATAGTGAATATAATGGTTCTAATGAATATCAAAAAGCAATTGATTTTTTAGAAAAAGGTTATGATTGTGGTTGTTCTTCAAGAATTCCCAAGGAAAATTTTGCAGAATTAAGGGAATCTTTTCAAGCTCTTTCCAAGTCCGAACAAGACAATTTTAATGGCCCAACTTAAGGCAATGGATGGTAGATTAGCAAGCACTAGTAGACACCTTAAAAAGAAAATTAGATCTAATGAAAGAACTTACTATCATAAGGATCACAATACACTCTTTGTAGGGCTTCTATTCATAATACAAATTCTTATTCGAATTATTCGTAATACAGTTGACCTTTAATTCGAATTAATATTAATATTAAAAAGTTTTATTCGAATTTAAAAGTTTATTTGAATTAAAAATTTAATTCGCTTTATTATTATTATTCGAATTAAAATTTATAAACTTTCATAACGAATAAAGTGAATAATTTGAATAAACCTTATTCGAATAGAAACCCTACACCTCTTTGTTAAGAAATTTATCTCAACATGTTGGGAATTAGTGGAACTTACTTCAAATTATTTTGTTTATTCGTTTTATTCGAGCTATTTGTTTATTTGTTTTGTTTGAAATTTCTTTTTCTTTTTATTCGCTTTATTTGAACTATTCATTTTATTTTTATTTAAATTTTGATTGAATTATTTATTTTATTTGTTTATTTGTCTTATCAAATTATTCATTATTCATTTTATTCAGTGTAATTCAAATACTCAAATTCATAGCAAGTAAATAAATAATTTGAATAAACCCTTATTCAAATAAAAATTCTAATCAAGCAATATAGTTGTATGTAGTGATTTAATTTAGTTTGTCAGATTTGGTGACTCCGATAACTCAGATCGCACACTTGCAATATTTATTACTTTAGGATGTCAATGCTGAACTGTTGTAGTTCAGATAAAATTTAATTTTTTTTTAGATAAATCTGAATATAATATGGGCATAAGGCTCCGAACGAATCAATGAAATTCAAACCAATTCGAACCAATTCGAATTCGAATCGAATCGAATCACTTGATTTTTGATTTGTTTCATTCAAATCGAATTCGATTCGAACGGATTCGAATATATAATTTGATACAATTCGAAAAATCTTTATTTTAATGTATATTTTATAATTT